CTTCCCTGACCAAGACCCCGACTACGCCTTCGCCATGGACGCCGCCCCGACCGCGACCGCCCGCATCAACAAGTTCGACGGAACCAACTTCCACACATGGAAGTTCAAGATGCAGATGGTGCTGGAGGAGCGCGAACTGTGGGAAGTGACGAGTGGGGAAGTGAAGCTCGAGCAGTGCACGACCGCGGCGGACCAAGCGACGTTTCGCAAGAAGTCGCGCAAGGCGCTGGCGATCGTCTGTCTCGCGTTGGAGGACTCGCAGCTGCCGCTGGTGCGGTCGGCGAAGGACGCGCATGATGCATGGTCAAGACTCGAGGGACACTTCGAGAAGAAGAGCCTGGCGAACAAGCTCTTTCTTCGTCGACGGTTCTTCACGACAACGATGGACGAAGGTGATGATGTGCTGGAGCACATTAACAAGCTCAAGACGCTGGCGGAACAGCTCGACGCGGTCGGCGCTCCGGTCAGCGAGGACGACTTGGTGATCACGCTTCTTGCCAGTCTGAGCGAGTCGTACCAGTTCCTCATCACGGCGTTGGAATCGCGTTCCGACACGCTGACGTGGGAGCTCGTGACGTCTCGGCTCCTGCACGAGGACATGAAGCGCAAGGAACAAGGTGGCGGTGCTGACGGAACCGCGCACGCTCAAGGTCAAGCGTTCATGACAAGCGACAACGGGAAGCGCAAGGGACGGCAGGCGCAAGCGCAGAGGACGAGCGCCTGTCACTACTGCGGCGAGCACGGACATTGGATCGCCAAGTGTCCGGTGCGGATCCGCGAGAACGGGGAGCGGCAGAGGCCGCAACGAGCGAACGTCGCGCAGGTCGAAGATGACTCTGGCGACTTCCTCTTCTCGGTTGGTGGCGACACGGGTGCCTCCAAGCTGAGCGGCATGTGGCTGGTCGACTCGAGTGCGACAGCACATGACGTACTCGAAGGAGTACATGAAGAACTACAAGAAGATCTCTCCGGTGGACGTGCATCTGGCGGACGACGGCGTGGTTCAGGCGGTGGGGAGCGGCGACATCGTGATGTCGATGCAGACACCGCGCGGCATGAAGAAGGGTGTGCTCACGGGTGTGTGGCACATCCCGAAGCTGTCGCGCAACCTGTTCTCCGTCGGCCGCTTCACCAAGGACGTCGGGCCAGTGACCTTCGAGAGCGACGGGTGCTTCGCGGAAACGAAGGGTCTCAAGTGGAAGCTCGGCGCTCGCGAAGGCAAAGGACTGTTCAAGCTCTGCATGACGCCGAGGACGCCTGCTGACGAGGCCAATGCGGCAAGCTCGAAGAATCGCCAAGGGGACACCACGTCGTACCTCTGGCACCTTCGACTTGGTCACATCGGCCATGGTGGTCTCGACGCCATCGTCAAGAAGGGCTACGGCACTGGCATCCCAATGACGTCGGTGAAACAGTGGGAGGTGTGCGACGGGTGCGCACTCGGCAAGCAAACGCGAGTAAGCTTCATGAAGTCGTCGCCGAACCGTACGAAGCAAGTGCTGGAGGTGGTCCACAGCGATGTGCGCGGTCCGATGCAGACGGCGACGTTCGGAGGCAAGCGCTACTTCGTCACGTTCATCGACGACAAGTCGCACTTCTGCGTGGTGTACCTGCTACGGAACAAGTCGGAGGTGGCTGCCAAGTTCGCTGCGTTCGTCGCGTTGGCTGAGACGCAGACCGGCAAGCGAGTGAAGGTGCTTCGGAGCGACAACGGCGGCGAGTACACTTCGGGTGCGATGGCCAAGTTGTGTGCGGATCGCGGCATCGAGCAGAAGCTCACGCCACCATACACGCCTCAGCTCAACGGAGTGGCCGAGCGAATGAATCGGACGCTGGTGGAGTGTGCGCGCTGCATGCTGGAGCACGCCGGGTTGTCGAAGGAGTACTGGGGAGAAGCGGTGATGACGGCCACGGTCCTCCGCAACCGGTGTCCGACGCGCGCCATCAGTCACGACAAGTTGCCGCACCACGTTTGGACCGGCAAGAAGCCTTTGCTGGCCAACCTCAAGGTGTTCGGGTGCCACGCGTACGTGCACGTGCCGAAGGAGAAGCGGTCGAAGTTCGACGCTCGGTCGGTGCGCTGTCGTTTCCTCGGGTACTCGGAGCACGAGAAGGCGTATCGGTTCGAGGAGATCGAGAGCGGTCGCGTGTTGGTGAGCCGCGACGCGCAGTTCATGGAGGATGTCTTCGACAGTGGGAGACGCGACTACGCTTCGAAGGAGGTGTTGGTGGGTCTTCCGACAGATGATGATGAAGACACCACGGATGAAGAGACTCAGTCCGGATCAGACGAGAACAGAGAAGAAGCTGCGCGGAATCAAGACTTTGAACCCGGCAGCAAGCGACACCCGCGCACGCAGTCGCTCGAGGAAGCCGTGGAGCTTCCGAGTGTCAAGCGGTATGCGGTGCCGAGACGACAGCAGCCGCTGGACGAGATGTCTGCCGCAGCACAAGAGAAGGAAGACTTCTAGGCTGCGTACGTCGTGGATTCAGTGGGAGAGATGCCGACAACGTTCAAGTCGGTGATGGAATCCAGCGACGCAGACAAGAGGAAAGAGGCGTGCGACTCGGAGGTGGAGTCGCCCCGCAAGAACGAGACGTGGACCCTGGTGCCACTGCCGAAGGGACGCAAGGCGATCGGCTGCAGATGGGTGTTCCGCGTGAAGGAGAACCAGTCTGGAGAGATCGAGCGGTTCAAGGCGCGACTGGTGGCGAAGTGGTTCTCGCAGAAGTACGGCATCGACTACGACGAGACGTTCGCGCCGGTGGTCAAGTTCACGTCGATTTGGGTGTTGCTGAGTCTGGCGGCCAAGTACAAGCTCACAGTGCACCAGATGGATGTGAAGACCGCGTTCCTCAACGGCTTGTTGGACGAGGACATCTACATGGCGCAGCCGGACGGATATGTGGACGGAGATCGACCCGACTACGTGTGCCGGCTCAAGCGTTCGCTGTACGGCCTGAAGCAGTCGCCGCGGACGTGGAACAAGACAATCGACGAGTTCATGTTGAAGCTGGGGTTCAAGAAGTGCGAGTCCGACCACTGCATCTACTTGAAGCGGGACAATCACGACATGATGTTCGTGGCACTGTACGTGGACGATCTGGTCCTCGCCAGTAGCAGCGACGGGATGCTGAAGGACACGAAGCAGGCGCTGAGTGACCGGTTCGAGATGACCGACATGGGCCAGCTCAAGTACTTTCTCGGTATGGAGATCGAGCAAGATGTGGCGACTGGGAAGGTGTCGGTGCGGCAGACCAAGTTCGCGAAGGACATTCTCGAGAAGTTCAAGATGGATGAGAGCAACCCTGTGAAGACACCGCAGGATCCGGATCTGAAGCTGACCAAGACCATGTGCGAGGGAGGCTGCAAGCACGACGAGACCATGGCGAATGTTCCGTACCGGAACGCCGTGGGCTGCCTCATGTATCTCATGGTGGGGACTCGTCCGGACCTCGCAGCGGCAGTGGGAGTGCTGAGCCAGTTCGCAGCGGACCCATGTCCGACACACTGGCAGGCGCTCAAGAGGGTCTTCCGCTACATCCGAGGCACGAAGACGCACGGCCTCGTGTTTCAAGCGAGCAGCGAGGACGGACTGCAAGGCTACTCGGACGCGGACTGGGCCGGCGACATCGAGTCTCGACGGAGTACGAGCGGCTACGCGTTCATGATGAACGGCGGATGCATCAGCTGGCGAAGCAAGAAGCAGCGCACGGTGGCGCTCTCGTCGACGGAAGCCGAGTACATGGCGCTGTCGGAGGCCACGCAGGAGGCGGTGTGGCTCAAGGTGTTTCTGTGCGAGCTGGGCGAGATGGCGAGCGATGAAGCGGTGAAGATCTACGAGGACAACCAAGGCTCCATCGCGTTGGCCAAGAACCCGGAGTTCCACAAGCGCACCAAGCACATCGACATTCGCTACCACTTCGTGCGCGAGAAGGTGGAAGACGGTCAAGTGGTGTTGCAGTATGTTTCGACACTCGACATGCTGGCGGACATCATGACGAAGCCGATCGCGGCGCCGCAGTTCGACGCGCTCAGGACGAAGCTGGGCATCGTGGTCGCTGTTATCAAGACTGATGTGACGACGCCTCGCCAAGCGACCGTGTGACGCGAACGCGTCATCAGTGAGGTCGGCGTGACCTTCACTGTGTTGTACCGCAATCATTCAGGTGATTACGGGACGATGACTACGTCACGGTGATTACGCCAAGATTGTGGGTACAAGATGGGCATCGACGTGGCGTTCTCTGATTGGATAAGGTAACTGTGTATCCAGTAGAGAATCCAGTAGGGTGTATCCAGTAAGAGGTATCCAGTAGCAGGCTTAGAGGTAGCACGCGGTTGCGAACTAAGGACCTGAATCGAATCACTTTGCATTTTGCCAACTACTGCTCAAGTGTTCTTCCTTTTGTTTCGACCGACAACGTTCAAACTATATTGATAAAAGCAATAGAACAGATTTTTACCTCAAGGATTAGTTCGGACCAGCGCGACGTGGCGTCTCATCATTGGTTGAAAATCTATGTCACACACCTTCATGTCCGCTTAAGTCCCTCCTTCTTCCTCATTCCAGAATCTGCCGGCTCGAGGAAAGATGCTGCTGTTGAACTGCATGCTCGTTGGGGACGGGGGCGTGATTTCTACCATCCTTGAAGAATGGAAGACGGTTGCTCTCTTGAAGAAGGCGATCAAGGTGGAGAAGCCGAACGACTTCAAGGACATCGACGCAGACAAGCTGCAGCTCTTCCTGGCGAAGACGGAGAGCGGCGCGTGGCTCTCATCGAAGGACCCTGATATGATTTCTATGCGAAGTGGAGGCATTCCTGAGCACGTGAAGACACTGCTGAACGTGGAAATGGACCCAGCAGACGAGATTGGCGACGTGTTTGAAGGTGCTCCGACGAAGAAGACGATTCACGTGCTGGTGGTTGCAGATCGGGAGTGCCTTGAAGTCCAGGACGCTGAAATTGCACTGCACCCGAGTCGCAAGAGACGATGGGACAAGTTGAACGAGGTTCTTGATAAGAACAAGAAAGCGAAGAAGGCTGCCGGCTCCACGGGTTTCTCGTACGTGTCGTTCCCGGAGATTGACAGCATCATGCCAGCGACCAAGTTTCGACCATCGTCAAAGCCTATCCCTGACGAAAAGCTTGATGCGCTGCATAGATACTTTCCTATCTTGATCAAGGCTTTTGGAGATATCATTACTGGAAAGCGACTGCACTTCATCGTGCCCGTGCTTGCAAGTGTCTGTGCGCTGTTCGATGGAGGCGTCCAAATCCTGGCCGAAGAAACCGTGATTGGGAAACGTGTTCACGGAGACGGAGCCTTTGAGTTCGTGCTTAAGCGCGGCGAGAAACGAGTTTGCATTGTGGAAGCGAAACGTGACGATATCCAGCAGGGTCTTGCTCAAGCTTACTTGGGAAGTGAAGCACTTGCGGATGTAGAAGGACTGCCGAAAGTGTACAGCATTGTCACGAACTTCTTGGAATGGGTCTTCTCGAGAAGTCTGGATGAAAAAATTGAGCGTGCGACACCCGTGATGATGGTGATGGAGAATGACGTTCCTGCACCTGAATCAGTGAAGCAGATTGCGGGCATGATTTACTCCATCCTGTCGGAAGACAACTAGCTACGTGTGTGCTTGGACCCAGCAGTATTACAGGACCGGATAGCTTCATTTTGACGTGGCGGTCCGTCGACACTACTTTAAACTTATAATACACGATTCTGCCAATTCTCTGCTTCACCATTAATACTTGGTTTAGCTGGCAAGGAACATCGGCGATGTCACAAGGGGAAGTGACATTTTTTTCATCCTAATGAATATAAAGTTAGTAATATACAATGATGGCGTACTCTCCTGAGCAATACCAAGCTAGCAAGGAACGCATCAAAGCAGCACAGAAGCGCTACTATCAGCGCACACGCGACGCTCGCTTGTCGTATCGAAAGAGCTACGACGACAAGAATAGAGACCAGATTCGAGCTCGCAAGCGTAAACCCAAAACCGAACTTATTGATGGTGAAGTCGAACTTAATAATGAAACCGAACTTAATTAATTAATTTTTTTTCTCAAAAAGTTAATCCCAATATAGTCAAAGACAATGGCTTAAAACCTCCAAAAAGGTATAAACCAAATATTTGATTTAATTAATTTCAGAATATTTTGTAAATGACTAAGATATAAAGTCGATCCTGATACAAGGTCAAATAATTATAAAGTCATATCTACGGATAATAATATAGTCAAACATATATAGGCAACATGTTTGCATACGAACTCGAAGGATTAAAGCGATTAAATATTTAACCCATTCGATGGGGTAGTAGCTACCGTATTAAGGTACGTGGCAAGACGGGGCGCATGGTATACATTAGCAACATTTCCCACCCCACCAACCAAAAAATGAGTACCAGATCAGTCTAGGCAAGCTCCAAAAGAATGTGGCTGCTGATTTCAAGGAAGACAGTAAGTACCGCTTCTACCAAGGCAAGAACATGGAGTCGCACCTCTACGAGGGAATTCAGCCTGCTGAGTTCTACGACAAGCTCGAGAACGTGCTCGCAACCCAGAAGTCTGCCTTCAAGGTCAACATCGCTCTTGGATACAAGCTTGTCAGCAGAACTGATGACAGCGAGACTCGCTACTTCCATCCGAATATTAGCAACACGTCTGTATTTAGCACTCCTGTAGCTATCAACAGCAAGGCTGATATTCGTAAGGTGATCTCGGAGATTCGCTCCATGGAGTTGGCTGACAAGCTCAACTACCCCAGCTCCGGGTACATGGTGAAGGGGATTACTGGCTGCAAATTCTATATCTACCAACGCGACCATGCTCTGGGTGATAGCGAGGCTGTCATTCCTAAGGTGATTCGTGATAACAAGCACGTCATCAACTTCCCCAAGACGAACAACAAGTGTGTCTCCCACTGCATTGCTTATCACAAGCAGGAGGGAGCCAAGAAGGATCCTCGCAGAATCCAGGCTCTGGTGAAACAAGCCTTCAAGCAGTACTGTTCGTACAAGGAGATCACCTACACTCTGGGTCTGTTCCGCAATTTCAAGCCTATCGACATTCTCCAATTCGATGAGCTTGAGGAGTGCTTCAAGCTGAACATCAACGTCTTCAACATGGATGTTGAGACGGGCAAGGTTGAATGCATTCGCTGCTCGGACAAGGACTATGATTCGATCAACATCCTGTCGCACGAGAATCACGCTCTCTACATCACGAACGTTGATATGCTCCAGCAGAAGTACCAATGCTCTACGTGTGAGATGGTGTTTGTTAGCTCTGATAAGCTACGCAGCCACACTAAGTACCAATGCGAACTCGTGAACATCGAATCGTTCCCAGCTCAGCCAACCATCTACCAACCCGCTCCGAACAGCATTCGTTCCATGCTGACTAAGTACCCCATCAAGGATGCTGACCATTACATCGATCACTTCATTGTCTATGATTTTGAGGCTATCCTCAAGCCTACGGGTGTCAAAAACGGAGAGAATACTATCTTCACAAACGAACACATTCCTGTGTCTGTTTCCGTGGCCGACAGCTTGACTGAGGAGGTGCGATGCTTTGTCAGCGATGACCCGAAGGAGTTGCTCAAGGATATGTTCCAGTACATCAAGGAAGTTGCGGCTAAGATTCAGCAGTACAACGTCTCGAAGTACGAGTCTTTGCTCCGCAAAATCATCAACGTCCATGGTTTGACTGACGCTGAGGTTCCTGGTCTAGACTTGGGTAAGACGTACAAGATGGATGATGTCAATGCTTGGATTCAGAACGGGGAGTTTGCTTGTTTCTTCGATTTCCACAGCAAGCTCACATTCGGTAAGATCCGCTCGGATTATGGCAAGCTGAAGCAGTGCATTGGTCAGGTACCAGTATTCGGATTCAACTCTGGACGCTACGACATCAACCTTATCAAGGCGGACCTGTTTGCAGTCATCGGTACTGACAACATCACATCAGTCATCAAGAACCCTAGCTACATGTGCATCGCCACGTCAGACATGAAAATGCTTGACATTAGCTCCTATGTTCCGGCAGGCACCAGCTATGCAAAGTACTTGTCGACATATCTCGGTGAGTGCAAGTGTGATGACAAGATTCGATGCGTCTGTGGCCTAGGAAAAGGCATCTTCCCGTACGAATACATTACTTCATTTGACGTACTCAGTCAGCCGGAAGTCCCTCCTAAGTCGGCGTTCGACAGTGCTCTTCGTAGCACTAGCATCAGCGATGAGGACTATGTGCGGGTACAGTTCGTCTGGGAACACTATGGCATGAAGTCAATCAAGGATCTACTCATTTGGTACAACAACCTCGATGTAGTACCCTTCATCAAGGCCATCAAAGCCCAGCGAGAACTATTCAAACGTTTCGAACTCGATATGTTCACTGATGGTGTGTCGCTACCTGGTCTCTCTGAGAAAGTCATGTATCAGACGTGCTTCAACAACCTCCAGCAACCAAGTAAGGAGCCTGCTGAAGCGTTTGACTTTCCCGCTAGTCGCTTAAGTGGATATAAGACCCAGGATGCTGATGCCGATCGTGAATTCAATATGACGCTAGAACACCTCAACGACTTGCTAGAGCGACAAAAGTACCTGTGTGGGCTATGCTACAAGCAACTCACAGCTGATACTGCCTCGGCTGACCGAATCAATAACAAGCTCGGACGCATCGATGGTAGTATCTTGATCAGCTGTGTGGGATGCAACGTTGCTCGCAAGAACATGTCGCTAAAGGGCTTCCGCCACAAGAAGCTACTTGAATTCAACTCAGACAGGTTGGTGTACAGTATCGATAGAGAGGAGAAGGACATCTACACCAAGATGAAGGCGAACATTGCTGGTGGTCCTTCTATCATCTTCAACAGATACGCGAAACGCAACGAGACCAAGATTCGAGGGGGTAGGATCTGCAAAAAGATCATCGGCTACGATGCTAATGCTCTGTATTTGTGGGCTCTTGGTAATGAGATGCCATGTGGACGGTTGACTACCATCGAAGCATACACAGGGATCGTCGATGATATTGTAAATGACAAGATCTTTGGCTTCCTCGAGTGTGATATCCGTACACCAGAGCACCTCAAACCCTACTTCAGTGAAATGACCCCAATTTTCAAGAACATCCTTATCGACTGCAGCGATCGGAGTGTCATCGGTCAGCACATGTTCGAGTACAACGAGGAGCGCAAGCAAAGCCGAGCAAAGCCGGCTCGCAAACTCATCGGGAGCTACTTTGGTGAGAAGATCCTCATTTATGCACCGGTACATTTCTCATGGTATGGAGATCACCAAGACTTACAGCTTCATCAAGGCTAGCTCTCACAAGGCATTTGCACCATTCATGGAAGCCGTATCGAGCGCGCGACGAGAGGGTGATGAAAATGTTAAATCCATCTGTAAGATCATTATTGAGAAGGTATCTGACACTGATATGGATGATTTAGTCCAAGAGTTGAAAAAAAATCATTACGAACCCTAAATCATTTGATGCGCTCATTATCGATAGGTTCATGAATGAATCGACAACCAATCCTAAGATTCATTTGGTTCTAGACTTGTTGACTAAGCTGAAAACGCTTAGTGAGGGTAGCAATAATAAGGCTATGATTGCTGAGATGATGAAACTGGTTGGTAATAGTGCGTTTGGTCGATCTGGCATGGACATGAGCAAGCACAAGGAGGTCAGGTATGAGTCGGACGATAAGGCAATCAAGGCCAAGATTGAGCACTTCACCTTCCACGGAATGGAAGAGCTGAATTATTCATGTGAATTCACTATGAAGAAGCGAAAGCTCAACAATAAGAACCCAATTCATCTATCGATTGCAATCTATCAGCTCGCTAAGCTCCGTATGTTGCAATTCTACTATGATTGCATTGACTTCTACTTCGACCGTTCGGAATTCCAGTACCAAGAAATGGACACAGACTCGGCTTATATTGCGTCCAGCTGTGAGAAGCCATTCGTTGAGTGTATCAAGCCCGAGCTTCGTGAGCATTTTCAGCAGCATAAGTACGAGTGGTTCCCACGTGATTATAGCGAAGAGATGGCTCAGTTTGATCGCCGAACGCCAGGTTTGTTCAAGGATGAGTGGTCTGGTGATGCTATGGTATCATTGTCCTCTAAGAACTACATTCGCTACCTACCAGACGAATCTTACAAGGTCAAGGTTTCAGCGAAGGGATTCCAGCAGAGTGGTGGCCGCAATGGCGACGTCCTCAACCCAGATGGCTTTGAATCGGTTGTTCGCGATCGCATCACGCTACAGGGCACCAACAAGGGGTTTAGACTCAGTAAGGAGAGTAAGTCAATCATTACGTACACCCAGACTAAAACAGCTCTAAACTACTATTATGACAAGCGTCGTGTACTTGCGGATGGTATCACCACCGAACCGCTCGACATATAAGCAAGTACCTGGCAGGGGATTTTTTTGTTTTATAACCATATAGAGCGATGGATCAGCTGTTGTTCAAATTATACTATGACCCCAAAACGGGCTATGTGGGTGCCCAAGCCTTATACCAGAAGGCTAAAGAACTGGAGCCGAAGATTACGATGAAAATCGTCAAGGAATGGTACTCAAACCAGAGCGATATTCAGCGATTTCAGGAGCAGAAGAAGCGATACGATGGGTTCAAAATCGCATCGACTAACCCCAATTCGTGGCAGATGGACTTGGCGTTTTGGGAGAAAAGACCAATCTTGACTGCGATCAACATCAACTCTAGCCTAGGCTACGCAAAACTACTAACCAACAAAACTACCAGCAGCAATTAGGGTTTTTGTCCTCCTCCATAAGGTTGACATTCTCACAACCGATAATGGTTCAGAATTCATGAACCAACAGGCTCAGAAATTATTCAAAACTAAGAAAATTGACCATTTCAACAACGAGCCTGGAGATCACGCCAAAATGGGTAAAATTGAACGCTTCAATAGAACTCTGAAGCAGCGCCTTGTCAAAATCGAACCAAAGCGACTAACCCAGAAGCTCATAGCTGCTGTTATTGAGAACTACAATAGCACGACCCATCGGACGATTGGTATGACCCCCAACGAAGCTAAAGGTAAGGTAACTGAATCTGAACTAGTCCACGACCAGGCTGAAGCCGAGAGGATTGAAAACGAGTGCGAGGTCGGTGAAAAGATTTTGTATCGACTAAAAAAGAAAACATTTGATAAAGAAGCAGCAAGATGGTCTAAGGCTGTGTATTCGGTGGTAGGTATTGATGGCTACCGCATCCAAATCAAGTCGAAAAACGGACACACTCTTTACAAGGGGCCAAACGATCTAAAAATTGTTAAAGCAGAAACATCTGAAGCTACTATCAACAGAGGTGATATTTTAGAGGTGGAGAAGATCTTAGACCACAAAAAGATGCGATCCGGCAAGTACAAGTATCTCGTTCAGTGGGTCGGTAATGAACTGGACTCCTGGGAGCCACAAGATAATCTTAGATTAGTCAATAAGAACAAGAAATCAATCTTAGAGAATGAGTACTGGAAGTCGATAAAAAATGAGTCGAACTAGCTTCGAAATAAGTTTAATAGAGCAATCCTCTGTAAGCGTTGACTCATCTATATCTATCAATCGATTTTCCAAAAATAATGCTTAAAAATATATGACTTCATATATAGAATGTGTTGCAACTGCGTAGATAATCAACGTGAGCTTGTACAGCTCCGAAGAAAGCTGTGGATAATTCAAGAGGTTAGTCGAATCAAAAATGAACTCAGAGATTTAGACCCAGTAGCCAATTTCCGGAAAACCGTGTACAATCTACAGTACCGCGACCAGTTAGAAACGATATTTGGTGTGCCGTTTCATTGCATCAAGGATCGATACATCAATCTCCTCAATGAGCGAAACCGTATCTGTCATTCGTATCAACCATTTAGGCATGACTCCGTTATGCCAAGCTATTGGTGAGTATGTATTTAATCGATGCTAATATTTTTTTATGACTGCCATGATATAGTTAGACGATGTTTCCCAACTTTACATCCCTCGCTCAACGAGAGCAAAATCGGCAGGAGCTACTCGAACGAGCTGAGCGCCGAGTTCGTCAAGCCACGTCTAAGCGCCTTATGTACGAAGGTGCATCATGAGCTAGCGGTATCGCGAATGGTATCACTACTGTTCCAAAGAAATCAACACAATCCGCTCAGTCTGATATTTCGGTTGGCCCTGACGAGGCTACGCCGGAAGAGTTAAAAAAAAAAAAGTCTGAATATTGAAAACTCCCAAAAAAAACCTGAGTCCTCAACAATGGTAGATGCTGAAGTTAATGCAACACCTGAAATGAACGATGCATCGACTACTGCAAAGCCTCAGTCCGTTGATGCTTCCAGTACTGCTAAGACCAAAACCAGTGATGGTTGGGTCCACGTGAGCCCCGATATGACTGATGTTGGAGTTGATAATAGTGCAAGAATGACAGATGCTGGTGTTGGCCCTGATAGTCCACTGCCACAAAAGCCCGTCGAAGAAGATTTGTTCGACGAAGGCAATGCTGAGATGAAAAATCAAACAAAGTCAAAGGAAGCGGTCGCTAAAATCTTCGAGGTTTACCCCATCCTTGCAGAACTAAATATTCACCCTATTGCTTCCAACGGCCGGCAGCTTACTAAGTATTATATTGGGATGGATGCTAAGGTGTACAGTATTAAACTGAGAAAATATGTACTAGTTCCGAGCATGGATTGGTCTGAGACGTATGACCATATTGGTGAGGTATTAATTAATGATGTCAGATTCCTCGCATACGTCAATTAGAAGGAGTGACGTAATGAGATGGGTAAAGAGGACAAAAATAGCCCATACCAGGTTTGGCAAAATATTGGCTCAAAAAGAAAAAGAATCAATGCCTCAGAAGGAGATTATTCAAACCGCTCTGAGCAGAGACTTGACGACAGTTTTGTGTTCGATACTGGAACATCCACAAGATCCGATCAAATGGACAGCAAGCTCAAATTATTTTGGACAATTAGCAAAAATAGGGAAGTCCTTGAATCTAACGGATTGATAAAGAAGATTGTACCAATTCTTAATGGTTCCGCAAAATCTTCTCCTATTGACAAAGATGGCTATGTTTGGATCAATGCAATAGCATTAGCGTTTACGGGAAAGATAGCGATCGTGTGAAGCAAGCAATCGCTCAGAAAGTGAACTGGATAATGACATTCCAATCTTTCATTAATATGACTAAAGCCAGGGGCCTCGAGTTAGAACTAGTTGGTAGCAATGAAACCAAACACATAAATGATTTTACCCCAGCTAATGGTGAAGCTCAGCATGGGTTAATGAGTGGTATTGATGAAGACATGGACCCAAGCCTATCAAACGCTGATAACGACGCCAAGAATATCTTAACTGATTACTACAGCCAGTTGCACGCTAATAGTATTGATATTCCATTTCGGCTACAACCAATCGTGAAAATCAACGGTGTTGTTAAGTCCCATCCATCATACTACTTTGGGCAGCCATCGGGGTCTAGACCCCTGAATATTTTAAATCGTGAAAACAAAGCACACAAGCAGGTGAGTGGTGTAGCTTGGAAGGGGCTAATGAAGAATATCATGTGGATGGATACCTTTTCGTCCCTACTCAACGGGGTTGAGGATTTGGACCTTAATGAGGTTGAATACCCCTTCCCATCGAGCGATGAAGAAGCAGCTAGATACTTGAAGAAAAGGAGCTTGATAAGAAAAGACGTAAAAACCTGGATGATATTCTTGAAATATTGAATGAGGCTATTCTAAAGTCTGTACACGATATTAGACAGCAAAGCATTGAAGAGTATGAATACGATGGCAGCTTGCAAAAGCTTCATGATGAGTCAGAAGCAGCTTTTCAGACATACGGTGAGGCTCAGAAACGCTATGAAGAAGCAAAAGAGGCTGTTAGAGGGAATAACTCAAAAGCAGCGAGATAGGTGTTGAAGGCAGCTACATCAGCTATGAAGGCGACAAAATCGATATATCAAACGAAGGCTAAGCGATACGCCGAGGCAAGCGAGGTATCCGGCAGTGGCGTTAAACGAAATCTTCAAGGTCCAGGATTGCGCGGTGCAGGTGTTGCCCCGCTGGAAGGTGTAGTTCGCCGAGGCCGTACCTACAATCTCAATGAGATCCAAGGATTAGCAACGCCGTCAGCCTACACATACAAGCAGATCGGAAGCAAGTATATTCGTATCCCCGACCTTGATGCTAAAAAGCTCGTGATCGTTCAGCCGAATCGGCGTAAATGTGGTCCTAAGTGGGAAATCAGTGATAGCCTCCAAGCCATGATCAAGGCACTTGTCTATAAGAACCGTATCGATCAATCCGCTTACGATAAGCTCAGCGTTGAAGATAAGAAACTGTTCAAGGAGGTTCTATTGATTACTCATCTCCAATACAGCTTCCACGATAAGTTAGAGGATCCTCTAGATACGCTTAGGGCTGAATACGATAAGCTAAAAGGAGAGCTACAACTCGGAAATGACAACCCCAGTATTATCAAGCAGCTCAAGTCTCTCACGGTGGATATGTACAGCAATCGACTGATTGATGATAAAGAGTGCAAAGATATTATCACCCGTTTATTATAAAACCATGTTCTTCTTCAACTCGCGCATTATATCCAGTTCCGGAGGCAGCTATGGTGACAATAGCGACCTCAACGTCGCTGAGTTGAAAGCTATCATGAAGAACCTCATCATTCATGATCGTCCCCAGAAGACCCAAGCCGCTGTGGGGGCTACTGACCTCGACAAGTCGACCAAGAAGGTGGAGCCATCTACCTAAACGGAAGGCGGCCGAGTCTGGGCTTACCAGCCAAAAAAAAAGTCAAAGTCTGTGAAGACATTTGCTCTATAGAGCAGAGCGGATATACTTAGATGTCTACGTCTGTTTTCTTCTCTCGATAGAGTCGGATTTTTTTATCTCCGATATCGATAGCCATGACAGCATTCTTGCCACTATGTACGTTGTACATTGGGATATAAGCATAATTCCCTATCGAAACCACTCCAGCGTGCATCGTTATTGAACCGATGACTTGGCCAGTTTCAGGGTTAGTCAGGTTCTTTTTGATCGTTTTACTTGGTCCACAGCCCATGATACTCTATTACAACGAAGTACTCAAGATCTGCTCTATATTTATCGGTGCAAAATTATCCCTGAGCCAATACCATATATAACCCTCTCGTGGAATTCGACAATTCGATCACATTGTAGTTGATCAGTATCAACGACATTAGCGTTAGTAGTCTGACGGCAAGCGGTCTTCGCCACGAACTGGGTTTGACAGATACCATTCTATATTTACTCAGACATAATCGCTCTCAACTCATTGAGTTCAGCTTTGAGATTATTGATTTGGCCTTGCTGTTCTTGGATAGATTTACACAGTACCGAGGTTAAACTGGCGAGATCGATTCCCCATGGATTCACTGGAAACCCATCCGGATTAAGTTCATCGTTTGCTCCGATATCTACTGCTTCTGGTATGACCTTATACAGCTCCTGCGCGATATAGCCAACATGGACAGTCTGCTCTTGAACCATCCTGAATTTTCTAGGTCTCATTCTCATAAGGCTTGCCAAACCATAGGGACAGTCTACAATGTCCGCCTTCAACCTCTCATCGCTTGCATTGGTGTAGCTTCCTCCACGCACCGGGACATAGGCTGTCCACGCGTAATTTGCATCGCATTTTCCCAACCTGATAGCTCCTACGGTTGAATCAGTACCAATCGCTGGATAGTCAGTCTGAGACCAATTGAATCGATACCTAGCAAATCCATCGCCGCCTCCCTTTACGTGCATGAAATTATTCGCCCATACCTCTCCGCCTGAGTGAATGGTTGCTTCTGGCGACCACGTACTCATACCAACTCCCAGTCTTCCTGAGCTGTTTAGATAAGCTTGAGTTGTGTTTCCAACCATGAACCTTAGCGGGTCGCTGGTAGTGGTGCCTAGAGCTACACCACTACTTCCTCCCGCGACATCATTGTATACCTGAATTTCAAATTCGATTGGAGTAGTAGCATCGTTGGCTATACGCATTGCGCGTTGCCAAGACCCGCTTAGTAAATTCGCGCTCGAAACTATATCTATTCTTGCAGTACTGGTAGCTGATCCAAAGCGAATGTATCCTGCTTGAGTGATTCCCATACGTTCAGTCATTGGTGATAATGCATTAGCTACTGATTGCAAAATCAGCCATTGAATATTGAAGACTCGTAGCGGTTCTAGTACAATATAGATTAACGCTAGGGGTGTACGTTGTCATATCACTAGTACCTTCAATCGTGAACGATAATCCGGCCTGAGCGCCAACCGTATTGCTTTGATTACGAATCATGAGATTAAAATCAGAGGCACGCGTTGTTGATGTAAATGATGTCCCGGCCGCAATCTGACATTGGGTAGAAGTAGTGGATATCAGATTGGTTGACGTTAGAGATGAGATACCTGATGAGATGCTACTATTAGAGTCTAGTACAAGAGCCTTTGAGGCTTCTGCAGTTCCTGCTCCGGTGGTAAGATCTATATAGTTCAGCTCAACGGTAGATGCTGTGCATCCAGCAAGCTTGTTCAGCTCCGCACCTGTAGTATTGAGAGTATCTCCCCTGAGTTGAAGCGTAGTAGGATTGATATTCAAGGTCGTTGCATTCATAGTTTGAGTACCTGACTTACTAATCGTATCACATGTGATCGTAGGCGATGATATTGAAGTCGAAGCTATAAAGTTTCGTGATATGGTTAGATCGCGAATGCCTGAGTAATCTTTCGTACTATTGAGAACCACAACGCTACTGGCTGAAGCGCCCCCTTCGATAACATTGACAAAGTAAGCATGATTGAAATTTATCCAAGAACTGACTCCATCCCAAAATTTCAGATTCGAAATGAATAAACCGGTTCCACCAGCGCTAAGGGTTAGATTGCTAAGCGTACCTAGACTAGTAATATTAGGCTGAGCAGCGGTTTGTAGCGTTCCTGTTATCGACGTCGCTGTGAGCGAGCTCAGGGTTCCTAGGCTGGTAATGTTGGGCTGAGCAGCTGTTGTTAGCGTACCCGATACATTACCCGAGCAATTTACAGCGGTTAGAGTACCTAACGATGTTATATTAGGCTGAGCAGCAGTCTGTAGCGTACCAGTAATGTTAGTTGCAGTTAGCGAGCTAAGACCTGTAATGGATCGACTTGCACCAGTAAAGGTTAAACTGTCTCCGATAGTCAATCCAGTAAGCGTACCTAAGCTGGTGATATTTGGTTGAGCAGCCGTCGCTAGCGTTCCATTGATGTTTCCACTCACGGTGAGCGACGAGAGTGTCCCTACACTAGTTACGTTGGTCTGAGCAGCAGTTGCCAATGTACCAGATATCTTTCCACTCACGGTGAGGGACGATAGCGTGCCTAAGCTAGTAATATTAGGCTGAGCCGCTGTCTGCAGCGTGCCAGTAGTCGACGTTGCCGTCAAACTGCTAATAGTAGCAATTTCACCTGATGCACCAAGCACCAGAGCTTTGTTGATAGCGGCAGTACCTGGAGTAGTATCAGCTACATACGTTGGTACGCCTGAAACGGAAGCACCATTAACAGTTAGGCTACTACAGCTTAGTGCTCCAAGTCCGCTGATGTTCCCACCACTTCCAGGGACAAGCGCTACACCAGGTGATGCTACGCCTTGAGAGACACCGGTAATGTACGTCAAGCGATAGTCATACTTGTTCAGATAAAGAGTCTGAGCATAGTCATACGTTAGAAACCCGCTGGCATCCAATTGGAGAAAGAATGCCGGATTATAAATCGGCGATGTGAATATCGGGCTAGGATAAGAAAAACCTGAACTCATCTTTGTTTGATTCTATATAGTTTAGACGATAATCATGAGCGGTATTCCAGATTTCGGAGCTTCAATCCCTAAAAAATTCAAAGCGCCTCTATGGGTGATATTCCAGCACTTGACATCAAAGCGCTGTTTAGAATGGTGGTTCTGGGGTCATCGTTCTCAGGGTAGAACAACTTATGTATGTTCATCCTCAAGCATTCTCCTCACGTATTTGCTCATCTAACGATCATTGCTCGTAATCCTCACCAGGAGTTATATGAGTATCTTCGTGATAAGCTTGATGGCTTTATCACATTCACCGACCCTGACTCGCCTCCGAGTGTTGAACGGGTACGTCATACACCAATTAATTCCAATAAGCCTGAGCTCGTCATCATCGATGACTACAGCAACGATAAGCTTCTTCAGAAGAATTTGTTCTCACATTACTTCACTAGAGGGCGCCACTTCAAGCTATCAACCATCTTCTTGAGCCACAGCTACTTCGCAACGGACAAGATGATCAGATTGAACTCAGATTACGTAGCGATCCTGAAAGCTAATTCTAAGCGAGACCTCCAGATGGTTGTGAAAGATTTTAATATCTAGGGAGTAGATGAGCGTTCAATCGTCTATTATTACAACAAAGCCACGGAGCGAAAGGGCCAAATGCTCTTCATTGATTCGGTCAAGGGTCAGATCAGGTATAACTTCGATAGACCGATTCGTATCGAGGACTAATTCCAATTTATCAAACAAAAATATGCCTACAAACATATAATCAATATGTCCAGCTTTATCAAACTCGACAGCACCAATCTGGTACAAGATGGAACCAATTCAACCTGGAAATACTCCTTTCCCGGATCGGCGGCTGACTTCCGCGATGTAGTATGTGCCATTCAATCGATTTCGATGTATATCAGCGAGTATAACATTGATTCAATGCAATTTCAGAACACAACGTTCAAAATCGAAGTACCTACCGCTGCAACTACATCCACAATCAGTGTATCCCTCCCTGATGGTATTTATTCGTATGAGGATATCAACCGAAGCATTCAGACTGCTCTTGTCAATGCTGGTGCGTATCTAATCGATCCGTCAGGGAATAACGTATTCTATATCAAAATGAGTGCTAACAGTGTCTATTACGCTTGTCAGCTTGATTTCTCTCCTACGCCTACAACTCTACCAACTACCGGTGGAACATGGACCAGACCTACCTCCGGTTTATACTCCTCTGGTGGTACTGGATTGCCGACTACTACTCGCGTTCCTCGACTGATCATCGATAATGCTGAATTCGGTAAAGTAGTTGGTCTCACAGTGGGTACATACCCCTCCACATCAGCTACTGTTGCAAGTGCTCAGCTATCGAACATCATTCCTCAGATTCACCCGACCAGTTCCTACATCGTTCGTTGCGATCTGATCAAAAACGAATACGTGGCTTCTGGTGATATTGTCAGTGCTTTTGATAGAGGTGATACCGCTATTGGAAAGGTCATCTCATACAAACCGAGCCAGTATGCGTGGATGAACTGTCATAATGGCGCTCGAGCTAGTATTACACTCAGTATCTATAACCAAAATGATAAAAAAGTGAATTTCAGAGATACGTCGGTATCCATCATCCTCTGATTCGTCCAAAAAAATAAGACATCCAGAGTATTTTTTTAGGGCGGCTACAACGTAAACGAACCACCAGTCTTACGACGTGCCCTGAGCGCAGCCATCTTAGCCTTCATCTCTGGCGAACCCTTCGCTGGACGTTTCTTTGCTACGCCTACACCATAGCGGCGACGAACCTCCTTTCGCACAGATCTGATTAGATCCTCATGTTCCGGCTTGGTAGCTTTTGATAGTAGGAACTTCTTTCCAGCATCGACCGCGTCGGTGATGACCCCCTTGCGCTTCGTGTATGCAAGAGCATTCTTTGCAGCCTTCTTTACGTCAGCCATTGATACGCGACCTCCTTCCTTGTCGCTATCGGAATCATAAATACCAATGCCGGTTAGGGACTTGATTGCAGCTCTGGCTGGAACAGCAGCCGTCGGCTGACCAGCATAAGTAGCTAAAGCAGGAACCGCCGCATCAACGGCTCTGGTAGTAGACCTGAATCCTTAGCAAATTTCTATGCAGAGTTGATCCCTCCCCATACTTTGGACCAGATAGAGCCTCCTTGAGCCTTTTTGTAGCCCTTCTTCACTTCGTGCTTGGTAATGTCGAGTCTGACACCGCGTCCAGCTTTACGAGCCTTGAGCGCCATTTCAAACGAAGCAGGGTGGAGATGGATGACTGAACCACTACCCTTTAGTTCGCTTGAGGTGAGGCTGAGCTTACCAGTCTTGACAGCTTTGGTAAGCTTCCGCGCAGGAATATCACTGGAGATTGTTAATTCGCGATACATGATTACTATATACGTTGAATTAAATTTATTCCAGAATTGTCATATTTAGATCTTTCATTGTTTTGAATACATCTGGCTTACGGTATTGCTTCGAATATAGCCATAGGACACATAATGGTCCACAGTAGTCTCCATAGGTTCCTTGGTATTGCTTGGTGTTGTATCGATCGATACCATACTTCTTTGGTGGTCCTTCCCCCATACTATCGAAGAATTCACCATTATGAACCGCCGTCCAGTGTCCTACCTCAAGATTAGGAGGGCGAAGTAGAATCAGAAAGGACCCTTTCTTGGGGAGATGGGACTTTATCTTATTTGATTCGAATATATTATCGAGTTGAACGTTCATTTTCTCAGCGAGTTCGATGAGATCATGATCTGAGGTGATTGGCTTGATGAGGTGCGACATAATATTTAATTTTATCAAACTATATTAGGATCCATATAGATTCAACGATGAGCGAAACTCAACTATCCGATCAGTACTTGTACCAGAGCTCGCTTAAGAGCGACCCGGAGATCAAGGTATCTTCGAGCAAGCGTGTACCGCACGTTATTGACCTAAATCAGGGTTCGTACCAGAATGGTGTCATCACTATCGATGCTACGGCTCAGCTTAACTGTTCCGAGGGCTTCGCAAGCCTTCGTGATGCCTACATTATGCTTCCCTACAAGGTCTCAATGAAGAATGGTGGCACTGCTCAAACTGCCGCTGCCAATCGTCTATGTGCTACTCTAAAATGCGGAAATTGGAACGTTATTGATAGTCTGAGTCTGGAACTCAACGGAAAGACTATCGTCTCTATGGCTGACTACAAGCTCTTTTGGAACAACGTTCGTGCTCAGACTGTCTACAGCCCTCAGTACGTGAAAAGCACGGAGCTGGATCGTTCTTGTACCCTGACGCTGCTCAGTCGGTATCATAC